ATTTTTTGGTTCTGTTACTCTCCTTGTGGAGCTCCAGACCCTTCCAGGTTGATAAGCTTTGTTTAAGAAAATGGTAAAAGACAGTCTTTCAGCAAAGAGGAAGTCATCAATGTATGAAAACAGATTACACCCCAGCCTCATTTTCCCCCCAATAGTCTTGAGAGGAGATGGTACTTGTTGTATGTCATAACTATATCATCAGTTTTTTACACATCTGAGAATAATAAAATTCAGAGGATACTTCAAAGATTCTTACTGTAATGTTAATCGCCACAAATACTTGAACTATTGAGCAAGTGCCAGGTAAAGTCCATAAAGTGTCTGAGGTGAGATTAGGCTGAAATGGATGTTAATGGAATTTGGTGCTCTCTAGAGAATTGATGGATCTGTGGCTTCTGGGCTTGGTTGGCATGGGGGTTTCTTGATACTTTTCAAGAGACTTAGTGAAGATTTCAGTGTGCATCTGCGAGTCAGAGTATTAGCCACAAGGGCAAGATGGAGTTGAGCTCTGGTGACTGAAGAATCAGGGGAGACTGGGATGCAGAAGGAATGGTAATCAAGAATCTTTCCTAAATCAATCTGGCGCTTTCTCAGACAATTAGGAATAGTGCTTCCTCGAGATCCAGCTATCCCACTCCTAGGCATATATCCAAAAGATGCTCAAGTACACAACAAGGACATTTGCACAACCATGTTCTTAGCAGCTTTATTCATAACAGCCAGAACCTGGAAACAACCCAGATTTCCCTCAACTGAGGAATGGATACAGAAATTGTGGTACATTTACACAATGGAATACTACTCAGCAATTAAAAACAAGGAAATCATGAAATTTGCAGGCAAATGGTGGGATCTAGAAAAGATCATCCTGAGTGAGATATCCCAGAAGCAGAAAGACACACATGGCATATACTCACTTATAAGTGGATACTAGACATAAAATATAGGATAAACCTACAAAAATCTGTATACCTAAAGAAACCAAGCAAGAAGGAGGACCCTGGGTAGGGCGATCAATCCTCACTCAAAAAGACAAAACAGGATGGACATTGGAAGAAGGAGATAACAGGAAACAGGACAGGAGCCTACCACAAGGGGCCTCAGAAAGACTCTACCCAGCACTGTATCAAAGCAGATTTGGTGAGACGCAAAACTAAACTTTGGGCAGAGTGCAGGGAATCTTATGAAAGAAAGGGGAGTTAGTAAGACCTGGAAAGGTCAGGAGCTATACAAGGAGAGCAACAGAATCAAAATAGATGGACACAGGGGTCTTTTCTGAGACTGATACTTCAACCAAAGACCATTCATGGACATTACCTAGAACCCCTGTTCAGATGTAGCACATGGCAGCTCAGTATTCAAGTGAGCTCCCTAGTAATGGGAACAGGGACTGTCTCTGACATGAACTCTGTGGCTGGCTTTTTGACCACCACCTCCTGAGGGGAGGACAGCTTTGCCAGGCCACAGAGGAGGACATTGCAGCCAGTCCTGATGAGACCTGATAAACTAGGGTCAGATGGAAGGGGAGGAGAATCTCCCCTATTAGTGGACTTGGAGAAGGGCATGGGAGGAGATGAGGGAGGGAGGGTGGGATTGGGAGGGAATGAGGGAGGATGCTACAGCTGGGATACAAAGCAAATAAACTATAATTAATATAAAAAAATTAAAAATTAAAAATAAACCACAACATTATTTCTGAGTTAAAAAAAAAAAAGAATCTTTCCTAGAACCAAGATATGATCACAGGAATTTTGTAGTTGTATTTCTATTATTATTATTATTATCATCATTATTATTAATTACAATTTATTCACTTTGTATCCCTGTTCTAGCCCCTCCCTCATCTCCTCCCAGTTCTATTCTCTCTCTCCCTTTCTCCCTATGTCCCCCCCCCCAGTCCACCGACAGGGGAGGTCCTCCTCCCCTACTATCTGATCCCAGCCTATCAGGTCTCATCAGGACTGTCTGGATCCTCTTTCTCTGTGGCCTAGTAAGGCCACCTCGACAGAGTGGCTGATCAAAGAGCAGGCAACTAAGTTTATGCCTCTGACTGCCCCTGCTCCTCTTACTAGAGAAGCCGCATGGAGACTTAACTGTCCATGGGCTATATCTGAGCAGGGGGTCTAGGTCCTCTCCATACATGGTCCATGGTTCATCAGTCTGTGCAGGACCCCTGTGCTCAGAATTTTTGGTTCTGTTGCTCTCCTTGTGGAGCTCCTGTTCCCTCCATGTCTTTCTATCTTCCCCTTATTCCATAAGATTCCCTGCACTCTGCCCAAAGTTTGGCTATGAGTCTCAGCATCTGCTTCAATACCCTGATGAGTAGTGTCTTTCAGAGGCCCTCTGTGGTAAGCTCCTGACCCTGTCTTTTCGATGTCTATCCTGTTCGCTCTTCTGAATGATTAAGCCTCTTCCCTAGGGTCCTCCTTGTTGTTTAGCTTCTTTAGGACTATAGATTTTAGTATGTTTATCCTATATTATATGTCTAATATCCATTTATAAGTGAATATATACCATGTGTGTCTCTCTGTTTCTGTGTTACCTCACTCAGGATGATATTTTCTAGTTCCCATCATTTGCCTGCAAATTTCATGATTTCCTTGTTTTTAATTGCTGAGTAGTATTCCCTTGTGTAAATGTACCACGGTTTCTGTATCCATTCCTCAGTTTAGGGACATCTGGGTTGTTTCCAGATTCTGGCTATTTCAAATAAAGCTGCTATGAACATAGTTGTTGAATGGTGGGGCATCTTTAGGCTATATGCCCAGGAGTGGTATAGGGAATTTTGTAGTTTTAAAAGAGAATATCTTTGAAGTGTGCACTCTATTTCATAAACTTCTGAGTGGATGGAGACTCCAAAAGAGGCCTCACCAGAATGGTGTTACGGTCATTTGAACCAGGATATACAAATTCTCCTCAAAAAACCCAAACCAAAACAAACAAAAAAATTCTGCTCAACTCCTTCCGCCTGTTTTTATTCACATGTAGTTTCTTTCAAAATATAATATTTGTTTAAATAATCTTTTAAAAGATAACTACAAATTAGAGCTGAAACTTATGTAGCTCCGTGAAGAGTAAGTTTCTGGTAAACTGTGCTCAGTCTTCACACTGTTTTCCTGTTGAAAGGGGGATCAAAGGCTGTCTGCTCCTGAGAATAAAAGTTATCCTTCCAGGCTCATGAAAGCCTGGTGTCTAGCACTGGCTACTGACCAAAGGGCTTGCATTTGTGCATGTGTGTTTACGCCTGTCAAATTAGAGGGCAGGCAGAGATAAATCCTGTCATTGTGATTCTTCCTGCCTCCCCATGCTAGACAGTTTGTGATAACAGTGAGCACTCAGCAGCTCAGTTAATAATAGTGTCCTTAATGCAGCAAAGAGTTTAAAATACTTCACAAATACCATAAATGTGAGCAATGAACGTTTTAGAGAAATAATAAAAATGTAGCCTCTAAAGATGTTAAACCTGCATACTCTTCATGTTGAAAGCTGTGTAGAATGATTGCTCTCCCTGGCCTTGCCTCAAGCCCAGAAAGACAGTTGAAGATGACACAGGTGCTATCAGGTAGCTGAAAGGGCACAATGGCATTTTCTCCAGGGCTCCCACGGCTGGGGGACGGTATTGACCTCTTTTGAGTCTTCAGCAATATCCGCTAATCTTCACCAGCAGATGCCTCATTGCATCTCCGTTCTGGTATAGGAATCGCAATTCCTCCTTAGTCTCATTATTCTATTTATTGGAAGCTGGTAGAGGCTATTGAAGCCAGGGTCTTCAACATGCTAAGCATGCACGGTACAAGGGAGCTACACCTTCAACTCCCGTATTCTGTTCCGATTGAGACTATAAAGTGGATTTCTATGGGAGGAGCTAAGGACAGCGAGGAAGCTGTGTTTTCATTCTAGTCCTCCTACAGAATATCCAGAAAGAATAAGACACTACAGCAAAATAAAGTGACTCGCCAGAAAAGACCATTTCAATGACTCAAAGTCCCATCTAGGCCTGACTACGTTTCCTGTGCACTTTAGAATGCCGGCGGGATGAAGCAAGCGGCTTCTGCATTGCTGTAGTAGCTGTTTTAGGGAGATTGTCTTGTCGTTTAATCCAGTCTGAGGAAGATGGGTGAAGAGCCAGGTGGATCTTAATTCGGGCTGAATTTCCATTCCGTCACTGTTCTTATCATGATCATGAAGTAATTCTGTTCAGTGTGGTTGTGTGGCGGAAATGTTAGTCTGGGGCCTGTTACACGTACTGATTATGTACATAGTGGGGGAGGGGTAATCTCAGAAACATGTATCTTCGATTTGCCAGAAGTTCACTCTGGGATGTCCGTTTCATCACTTTAAAATCCACTATGCACTAAATTTAGAACTACCACCACAGAAGAAAACATGTCAGGCGGGATGGAGTGGGAAAGAATGCAGAGAAGGACTCTTGAGATTGGATAGCGGTAAACTTTAGTCTTGAAACCTCTAAATAATTTAACATACACACACAAAAGAGAACCTTCTCCAAGCAAAGAACCGCCATGCCCAACTCTGGTTGTCAGTGGATTCACAATGTAAAACGCAACAACTTGCTCACTCCTGCTGGCCCCTTCAGGCCAGAAGGCTGCCAGAAGACAAGCCCCCTCGGTGGCGATGTGGACACCTAAGTAGGCGTCCTTAAGCCCAAACACCATTATTTTGCTGGCCTGCTCTGGAAACTGGCCGCACTCTGGCTGCTCTCGGTCAGTTTACCCACAAGTTGAAGGGAGAATTTTCCAGGCAGGACTTGGCCGCACAGTCTCTCCTGGGCCTGGCAGGTGAGGAGTGGGCTAGCAGCTGCTCAGAGTCCCGGGGCCGCTGGTCCCTCCTCCCACCCGCGGCTCTGTGCGGCGTCTTCCCTGGGATCCGGGTCCGCGCCCTGGGAGTGGCTTGCGGCTGGGGAGGGTGACCCAAAGCGCGTGTCACTCCTCCTATCAGTCCGGCGATCTAGGGCCACGCGCAGTGGCGGGAGGGCCAAGGTGCGCACCGGGTCACCACCTCGGGCGCCCCTGTGGTGGCCCGCGGCCAGGGCGAGCGGGTGGCCGAGGGTCCGGGGGCGCCGTGGGGGTTCGAGCCCGGAGCCCCGGCACCCGCCGGACGGCGCAGCTCGGGGCGCGGTGGGAGGCGGCGAGGCGGGGACCGGGCGGGGACCAGGCGGGGGCGGAGCGGAGCTTCCCGCCTCCTCGTCGCCTCCGTCCTCCCACTCAGAGCCGCCGCCTCGGCCCGGCTGAGCAGCGGGAGTCCGCGGCGCCCGCTAGCCGCCGCGGGATGGGGAGCTAGCGCCACGGCGGCCGCGGTGGCCGCAGCGCAGCCAGCCGCCGCCCCCGGGCCTGTCCCGCCGGGTGCTCCGGGAACCCCAAGCCCGGCCCCGAGCCAGGCCCGCGGGCGGCGGCGGCGGAGGAGCTGGGCAGGTGTGTGCGGCTGGAAGATGGCGCCCTCGGGCCCGGGCAGCGTGAGACGGCGGTGCCGGCGGGTGCTCTACTGGATCCCGGTAGTGTTCATCAGCCTGCTGCTGGGCTGGTCCTACTACGCCTACGCTATCCAGCTGTGCATAGGTGAGTGCTGGCGGCTGTCCCGAACCCCGCGCGCAGCTCCCTAACCCCCCCCCTCCCCGCCGTCCCGGCGCCGCTGCCCCGCTCCGCGATGGCTTCCACTCTGTGCCTCCGCCGGGCTTCCCTGCGCCCCGGGCACTGCCCACTACCCCGCCCTGCCCCCATCCCCAGCGGAGGTCAGCCCGCCTCGTCGAACCCTCCGCGCGCTCTGTCGCTCCCCAGGCAGCTTTCGGGTCACCGGGTCGCCTCCACCCCAGGACTCACACCCCTGAGTACCCTCGCTGCCTTTTGCTCACCACGGCCGCCCCAGCCACACCCCCTCGCTGGGCAGGACAGAACCTGGGACCACGGTGGTCTCCTCAGCCTCAGTGGAGAGCCGAGGCCAGGGAAGCTGGGCCACAAAATCAGAGCTGCTCCAGACCGGTGAGGGGAAATGCTGGCCTTAGCCTGGGCGCCAGAGCCAGATTCTTTTCTGGTGGACGTTGGTCCACTCTTTACAAAATTGTGACAGTTCTCACTGGGGTTGTAACTGCCTTTCTGGTTAGAGGGTTGATAATTAGGCACTTCCTAATTCAAAAGGAGGCAGAGGAGGTGAGCCACTAGAAAGTGTTTTTGTTTTTTTTTTTCGAAGACATATGAGAAATAGAGGACTGCAGTTTAGATGATGGGATAATAGGAAGTGGGGCGGGGAAACCCAGCATCTGAGGTTTTTACATCCAGAGAGCCAAGTGGCCTCAGTCCAACATAACGCTTCTGAGCTGGTGGGTGGGGCACGTTCAGCGCCGAAGATATTTTTTTTATGTTGATTGTGCATAAGCAGGGAATACAGTTATGAAACTTAATGTAAACTTTCTGCCTTCGGAGGTTTTGTGACAGCTAGTGTATGGTGTCAGGAAGAGATGTTCAAAGATGACTTTTCTGCCAGTGACTTCTGAATATTTCGTCTGATGTCCCCCCACTGAACTTCCTCTACCTTGCCCTAATTAAGTCCTAGCCTTGGGTGGCATAAGGAATAAATAGGGCCCCTTTCTGTAAAGCTTTGTAACTTAAGCAGCTTCACGGGTGAAATGCAAAATCTTGTGCAAAGCCATCTATCTTATCTCCAAACGTTGGTCCTGTGAGAAATGGTGGCAAAATGATACAACAGAACAATTTTGACATAATTTTCAAGATAACTGAGAAATCTCATTTCATATAGTCATTGCATTCGCCGTCACTGCTTTGTTGACCAGATTCAGAGACAACCTTTTGTTTTGATTTTAAAAAAGAAGAGGGCTATACTGACATCTCATGAAAGTGGACATAAATATGTAATATTTAATCATATATAATATATAGGAAGAATGTTAAAGAGAGAAACAATTACAGTTCCGGTATTAACAGTTAATCTGTAAATAGGTAGCTTATTGAAATACAGTGTATATATTACGTAGCTATTGGGAAACTTTGTTGTGTTTTATTCCTTTACTTCTGAGAAATAATGAACAGTATCATTTGTTGCAAAAGAGGAATGCCCTAGAAGGCCTTCACTATCAAAATAGCCAGCTTGTTCTTTATTATCACATTAAGCTAAGAAGCTTAGCCTGGCATAATGGCTAATGTCCAGCAAGAGGAAGCGGTAAAAGAGTGTTTCATCCATCACAGGTTCCATGGGAGGTTTTATTTTACTGATAGGTGATGGTCAAGGAACTGAATAGAAAATTGCTATTATTATCTGATGATATTGTGATATTGTGTGTGTGTGTGTGTGTGTGTGTGTTGTCTTGGCTTATGTCCATGTGCGTTCACTCACCCATGCTGATGGATGTAGAAGTCAGAAGTCAGTGTTTGGTGTCTCTGTCAATTATTTTCCAGTTTCCCTCTGGAGAAACGTTCTCTTGCTGAAACTGGAGCTCATCTTTTCCACTAGACTGGCAGGCCAAGAAGCCGCCCCTCTCCCGTTTCGAACTGTCTCCACCTCCCAGAGCTAGGATTACAGGCATGCACTCACCCAGCTTTTATGTGGGTCCGAGGGAGTCTGCACTCAGGACCTCATGGCTTGTACAGCAAGCACTTTAACCACTGAGCCATCTCCCCAGCTCCTAAGCCATACTTTTATGTATATTTTTGTAATTTTTAAATAAGGTATTTGTGAAATCTGAATCACCCTTTTCATACGTGACAATTTGACTTGGACATTTTCCTAGGATTCATGGTCTCTTATTGATATTTACCTAATAAAGTGCCCTGTCCCTTCTTGTCACTGACCACCTATGGTTACCTAAATGCTTGCCACAGTAAAAGCAATCAGAAAATGGACTATCAGAAACAAGTGAATGGTATACTCCCCTCCAAGTTGTCAGAAAGTGGTTTTAAATATTTTTATTGTCACGGTTGCAAAAAAGTGGTGGTGCAAAAAAGTCTAGATCCTAAAGGTGAGGAGGCAAAATTCAAGATGGTGAGTTTGACTTTTTGGAAACTGTGGCAGTTGGTCAGTGGCATTCCTCAAAAGCCTCAAACTGCCTCACTGTAGTTGGCTGAGAAATGGAGGTTAACTGTAGAGTTCTTCTCTAGGCACAAGGAAAGATGGCAACCGGTGTGAGGATGCAGACAGCCAGCTTTCGCTGCTTTTCACAAACAAAGGAAATGAGAGTGCCAGCTTCCGCCCCACTCTAACATTAATCACATCTGTGTCTGCCCTCTGAGGACCCACCGCCCCCCTCTTGGAAGTCGTTATTTACAATCATATTCCTCAAATTTCTCCTATGAAATATTGGCCAGGGTTGGGACCAAAGGATTAGGGGTCAGGGACTGAAATGTGAAGTAGGTAACAAACAGAATTAAGCAAGCAGGGTGATTTACCCCGGTCCTAGTTCCACATCTGCTGTCAGCCAGTGATGACCCTGAATATAAATTACTCTATGCCCTTTGCTGAATGAACTGCAATTTAGGAGTAGTGCTTATCCTTGGTATCCTTGGAAACTGGAGATAATGATTCTCATTACAGTTCGTTTCTATATTTAACAATGTGCATGCATGTGGCTCTCTAGGCACTTTCTCAGTTGAGCATAATTCCTGCTTGGTGTTTGTATTTTCACAAAAATAACTCTTCTCTTTTGGAATGTATATCTGAAATATATGGGATGCAGAGATAACATGTAAGAGTCAGATATTTCAGGTAAAATTGCTTCTAATTGTGCCAATAAAAGACCAAATAGGGCTATTATACTTGTAATCATTTAGAACATGTTTATATGGTTTGCTGGTTAATAAAACTCTTTTATCATATCCCCCCCTTCATGCCTTTCTTTCTCTCTGATCAAGCCACTCCCTCTTCCTCCTGCCCCTATCCCTACCCCTGGTTTCTTTTTTGTCTTACCCATCTTTGCTCTAGTCAAATATTAGCTATGTCATCTTCTACATGGTAATTTGCATTCCGTAGCTTAAAAGGTATAAATGTATGTACCTAGGGCGCAAAATTAGGGGAGTAAGAGTGTCTGTGGCCTTGGATGTGGCTCAGAGGACCTGCTGGAGCTGACGTGTGTTTTACAGAACCACCGTTCTAATTAGTACAGAAACATTGCTTGTTGGAGAAGACTTGTTCCTCTTTCATGCTAACATTTAAAATGGACTGACTGTTTTATACCTTTTGTCTTGTTATAATTCCAAAGTTACTAAAAGCTAAGATTATTATAGGAGATGAACACATACCTTTGCTGAAACATTTTGGTCTCTTATTTGCCTAAAATGTCCCTGCCTTGATTTCACCCTGCGAATGTGTTGTTCTTCCTAGCGGTCAGGGTCTAGGCCAGGACGTTTTCTGGGTCTGGGGCCTATTTTGATGAAATGAAATCCCACACAGATTGCAAAGGATCAAGGAAACTTTACGCAAAGCAGAATGCCACAACAGGTCAGATTATGCTGCAGGAGAGCAAGTAATCAGTTTTAGATGGCACACTCACAGTTCTGCGTTTCCTTCCGGTTTTACTTAAGAAATTTCAAGCAATCCTGACAATTTCCGAAGGTTGGCAGTAGTGTAGGTCGGCCCCATCTTGATTGTGGAGGGAGAGTTAAATGCTACATTTGCTAAAATTTCAGTGTCCTTCCCAAAGTGTCCTTTGGGAGTGTCACCTGTGGACCTTTTCACGGTGGTGTAGTAAGAAAAAAATTTTTATAAACATAGAAATGTTATGTGAATATGTTTTTGTTTTAATCCCAGGTGTGGGATATGGAACTGCTTCAGATTGTCCACAGCTGATGACTATGATTTGCCTCATGCTTTAGCAGATGCATGATATTACCAGCTTAAGATAGTTTGCATTTGAAATTCTGGGGACTCTTCAGAGGGTATAGTAATGTCAAAGCCCTGAGAGGGATGGGAATTGCTGTTGCTCCTGCTGCAGTTGATGGCTGCTGGTTGCTCCTGCTGTTGGTTGCTGTTTGCTGGATTCCTGTTTGCTGGTTAGAGATGTCCAGAAGACAAAGATCAAATTTGCCCCAAGGAATTTGATGACCCTATTCAGCAGGAAGTAGTCTGTTGACATCAAAGACCCCTTTCCCCTCTAACCTTTCTTCTCGACTACCTACTGTTGGGAAGTTGGAAGGGATAGGAGTGGTGTAGGGAAATAGGAAAAAGATCCCAATAAAGTAGCCAAAAGCCCTGTTACACAGTGGTCAGGTGTTCTGGGGCTGAGGGACTAGCTCCGTTTGTGTTTGCTGTGCATGCATGAAGACATGAGTTTGATCCCCTACACATATGTAAAAAGCTGGACTTGGTAGCATGCTCGTGATTCCAATGCTGGGAAAATGAAGTCAGGTGGTTTCCTGGAGGCCACTGGCTAGCCTACCTAGCCTATTTGGTAAACTCTAGCTCTATGAGAAAGACCCTGCCTCAAAAAACAAAGTAAAGAGCTAGTGAGGAATAGCTTTTGAAAATGCTCTCTGGGTTCCATACACTAGCACACATGTACACACACACACGAACACGCACACCTCAGTAATGATTGCAAATATTATGTTTCATA